GTCTTTGGTGACTGCCTTCCTTCTGGAGATGCTTCCTTGCCCTGATGAAGCCAGCTCTGCACATGCAGGGTCACAGGCACTGGGCCTCGCGCGCTCAGGCACGCACAGGCCCCTTTGGCCACGAGGTCTTTTCCCATCTCTGACCAGCTCCTTACTCCGCCATCCCCTTGTCCACCCTTCCCTCAACGCTGCTGCCAGACCTCACCGTCCCACGCCTGTTCCTCTTTGCACTTACGTCCCACGTGTCCAGCAGGGCGCCTGGGGCACAGCAGGGAGTTTGTGAATGCCTAAGGAAGCATCTTTTCACGCGCAAGTGTTTGCTCACATACTCCTCTGAGAGTGCATGGAGGGCTAGCACATCGCCCATCCGCCCCCGGGCAGAGGCCTTCTGTACATGTGGGTCAATTGCGGGATGGTGTCAGTGAGTCACCCAAAAAGCGTATTTTCTTTAGATAGGGCCTCAGTTTGTCGCCCAGGCTGGAGTGCAGTGGTATGATCATAGCTCACTGCAGCCTCGAAAAAAATTTAAAATACTGACAACAGGTTACAGTGTTAACCATTCAGAACCTGAAGCATGTGCCGTCTATAGACACCATGATCCCCTCATAAACCCTGGGAAGCATCGGACCACTGGACTCGACTGTCCTCCAGAAGTGGGAGGCTTTCCTCTGACCAAGGGCAGCGAGCTGGGTGCCTTGAGGGGATTTAGGAACCTCTTTCTAGTGAACAAATGGGATGGCTCCTTCGGTTCTCACTGTGGACTAAACAGGTGCCTGGCTGTTACCTCTGCTCTAGGCCTACAAGTACCTGGAGGAGATGCGCAAGAGAATCCCCTCTGCCAACATGTCCTACTACGTGAGCCAGCACACCACGGACGCCGTGCTCCAGGGCCTTGGCCTCCCTCTGACACGCGCCACGCCCGAGCGGATCCGCCACAACAGCGTGGAAGACCACAGGGAGGTGGACGAGGACGTGGTGGAAGAGGTAGAAAATGACCCCTGATGGGCCCAGGCCCCTGGCCAGCCAGCCAGTGTCTTCCTGCTGGAAGCATCTTCTAGAATTTTCCAGTTGCCAGTAGCAGCAAAGGCAGTTTTATTCCCAAAAACCCCTTGTGTGTTGCAATCTGTAAGCAGAGCTGTAGCAGGACACGGGCCCAGCGGCCAGGGCCTGGCAGGAGTATGTTTAGAATGGAAGAGTGTGTATTTTTAAACCATTCCTCTGCATTCCTGCCTCCAGGCACTCGGCAGCTCCTGTGGCTTTTTAGATTAGTTCCTTTAAAGGCAGTTGGATTCGTCTTTCCCACGATGTTCTCCCAACCACATACTGTAAAGCCTAAGAGACTTCTAGAACTTCATGACGCCGCACCCAGAAGCCTGGGGACACCCACTACCCTGTTCCCCACGCCCATCGGATGGTCACCTGGCAGTTCCCAGCTGGCCCACTGCAGCCAGGACTGCCGTGGCCCTCCTGTGACTCCAATAAAGTTTATTTTCTCAGGCCCAGGCTCTTCCTTCCATGCGTGGGCCCTCTGGGCCCTGCAGTCCCAGCCCAAGCCCAGCAGTCAGAACAAGGATGGCCATGCTCAGGCGCCTGCAGCTCTTTTTACTGCTCTGGGGACACAGCGTGAGAAGCCCACAGAGCTGTGCCCTTCCTGCTGGCTCCTGCTGTCCCCCGCTGCTCCCCGATTCTGCCCTCACTGGAGGGGTCGATTCCCCCTGCCAACGCCCCCAGCCCCAGCATTCGCTCAGGTTGCCATGGGCAGTGCCCAGGCCCTTGTGTATTTTTAGCCAAACACTCAGACTTGCCGGGCTAAAAATAGCGGCGGGGGAGCAGGCGGGGGCAGCGGGCCTTCCTGCATCTGCACGCTCGGTACCGGATGCCGCTCCAGACCTGGCCGCGCTTCAAAGCCCAGACGTTCGCCTGGGTGCTCCTCCGCTCCGCTGCTCGGGCCTCCTGCGCTGCGGAAAGGCACAGGGGACTAAGGCGAAGGTGGGAGGAGGAGCTTGTCCTTGAGTCTCTCCAGAAGCAGCAGAGCCTTCACCGCCAGCACCCTGCAGTCCTCATCCGGGTCCTTCTCGGCTACGTCTGCCGAAGATAAGAAGGAAATTGAAATGTGAGGCGGCCTCACAGGGCCAGCTGTTTGCTCCCTTTTTTTTCATCTGAAGTCTTCCTAAATGAGCCACCCGCCAGGCCTTGGGCATGTGGCACCAGCACCCACACTAAGGCCCCATCTCAGATGCCTGGCAAGGGGGCACCGCCACGTCCCTGTGCATGAGCAAGCCCCTGCCCCCTGGGGCTGGGAGCCTGGGCCAGGGGGCCAGGTGATAGGGACACATGGGGCACCCCACCCACCGCAGTACCCCCCTGGGAGGAAACCGGCCCGAGGAGAAAGGCAGGATCCTCCCTGGGCCCGGCTGCTGCGAGACACACACAGGTGAGCAGGTGGCGGTGGCCAGCCCTCACCCTGCCAGACCTGACTCGAGTGGGGGCAGGGTCTGCACAGGAGCCTGGGACTCTCCCCAAGGCCCCGGCCCCTGCTCTGCCACTGCGCCGCACGCAGAGAACAGCGACCGCGTGCTGGGCGGGGAGGGGCTGCCCAGCCCGGGAACACGCAGGCCCAGAGGCTCAAGCTACAGCAGCGCCACGATGCTGTCACAGAGGCAGGGGGCCCAGGAATGAACGAGGGGCCGTCCACCAGCTGGTGGGAGGCGGGAGGTGACCCTGCCTGTGGAGGCGGCCGGGGAGGGGGCCTCTGGGGACCTGGAGTCACGCGCTGCCCCACTCAGGGCGGCGCCCAATCTCCGGCTGTCCCCACCGCGCCAGGCCCTCGCCAAGGCTGTCTCGTGCCTGCAAGCCCCCGGAAGCTCTGCTAGTGGGGTTACCCCAGCGCCCCTCACAACGTGCAAGGGGGCACCGGCAGACCCTCGGGGGAGTCTGTGCTGCGAGCGTCTCGTGCTCAGCCACGGCGCTGCCCTGACCGCAGGGGACGAGGCTGCACCGTCCGGACGCCCTGCATGCCCCGAGCTAAGTGACTGCTGGGGACCAGTGCTCCTGTCCCCATAAGGTCTCCAGACAGCTGGGACGCAAGTGCTGCGTCCTTGGGGAAGCAGGAGGCCCGTGGCCGGGAGGAGCGTGGCACCCTGCCCCCGACGCTGGCGGCTCCCCCCAGCCATGGAGAGAATCGTCATCCTCACTGCAGCAGGCAGGACGCTGCCTGGCAGGTCAGTGGCAGCTGAGGAGGGAGCTGGGTGGCTCCAAGGGGACATCACCTGAAGGGCCCTCACTCCCCCTTGACAGAAGGACCCCCCCCCCAGCACCTGCCCCGCTTCTCGGAGACACAGGCTCTGGCGCTAAGACGTATGCGCACTCGGCCACCACTCTGAGCACAGAGGCCTGGGACAGGGAGGGCCCCGCAGCCCCATGCTCTGCTCCCACGGGAAACGCCCGTTCACACCCGACGCACTCGGCAGCCCCTCGAGCAGGGGGCCAGGACTGCGGCCCGAGCAGGAGCCCACGCCCAGGTGGGGAAACAGCGGGGGCAGAGCAGACACCGGCCATCCCCACGGGGAGGATGACCTCACCCCAAGGATCCCACGAGCGTCCCCAACACGGGTGTCTGCACACAAGTCCCTGAAAAGGAGCCGGCTTTGGCCAGGACTGTCCTGACTCACCCACGGGACCAGGTCAGTGAAGCCACAGCAAGGGGCACAAGCCAAGCCCTGGACTTCAAAAGCCACGAGGGAACAGAAGGCACCAGGGAGCCGCGCCCGACCGAAGGTGGCCAAGAAGGCGGCGGCAGCTCAGGGCTACATAGGGGCCCTGCTGGGTCCCAGGTCAGGGCTGAAGGGAAGAAAAGGGCCAGTACGAGGATAGCCAGGCTGGACGTTCTCTCCACATGGTGTCCTGAGGGGGTCACAGCGGCCTGTCCTTAAGCCCCGCTCAAGAACCCGGGGTGAAGGGTCACAACATCTGCAACTGACTTTACAAAGAACACGCAGCCAGGCGTGGTGGTGGCCCCTGCAGTCCCAGCTACTCGGGAGGCTGAGGCAGGAGGATCGCTTGAGCCCAGGAGTTTGAGGCTGCTGTGAGCTGTGGTGACGCCACTGCACTCCAGCCTGCGAGACAGAGTGAGACCCTGCCTCTGAAAACAAAAAATAATAAAATAAAAATTTTATAAAAAAAAAGAACACAGGGCGGGCGCGGTGGCTCACGCCTGTAATCCTAGCTCTCTGGGAGGCCGAGGCGGGCGGATCGTTCTGAGCTCGGGAGTTCGTGACCAGCCTGAGTAAGAGCGAGACCCCGTCTCTACCAAAAAATGGAAAGAAATTAATTGGACAGCTAAAAATATATGTAGAAAAAATTAGCCAGGCATGGTGGCACGTGCCTGTGGTCCCAGCTACTCGGGAGGCTGAGGCAGGAGGATAGCTTGAGCCCAGGAGTTTGAGGTTGCTGTGAGCTAGGCTGACACCACGGCACTCGCCCCAGGCAAGAGAGTGAGATTCTGTCTCAAAAAAAAAAAGGACACATTGAGGAGGAGCACAGTGGCCAAACGCTCCATGGGTGAGCCCCGGGGGAGGCGCTGGGCGCCCACTCCACAGTCCTCAGAGCCGGTCGGGACTTGGGGTTCAGGAAGGAACACAGTGGGGGCACCTGCCTTCAGGTTCTGCTGCGGGGCTTCCGAAGTGGCCATGACAAGAACCATCTCCCCTGCCCCCACACAGAGGCCACCACAAGACTGTCGGCAGCAAGGAGGGACGTGCCCGTCCAAACAGGCCGGGCCGCGCGCAGGAGCTGTTCCACACCAGACGCCTCCCGCCTGCCTCACGGACGCAGCCCCGGGCACACACACCTGCCAGCCAGGACCTGGCCTCCAGCAGCTCGTCCGGCAGGTCCTCCAGCAGCCTCTGGGCGGGTACGCTGAGCAGGACAGAGGACACGGCAGACAGCAGGCCCCGGCGCACGTAGCTGCGAGCAAGGAGGCGGGAGGCTGAGCCCCTCTGGCCCCTGCCCGGCCCCCGCCCAGCACATTTCCTGTTTGGGAAGTGCCAGGTCAAGCTGCCTCCCAGCCACCTCGAGGCTCCCTGTGGCCTCAACTATGACGCCTCCCGGTCCATTTGTGAGACCCACCCCGCCCCAGCCCCTCAGGCCACTCACGCGTCGCCGTGGAAGCGAAGGGCCCACACGAACTCCAGCAGAGCCTTGCCCATGGGCACAGCCACCTGGGGGCCAGCACAGGAGCGGTAGGCGGGGGCCTCCTCGCCCACCCCAGACCCCAGTGACCACGCAGGGCGAGGGACGTTCCGCTGCCCTGCGGAGCCTCATGCAGGCAGCCCCTCCCTCAGACGCCTGTCCCCGGGGCCAGGTGAGGCCCAGGCGCCTGCTCCAGGCGTGGGGCGCTTCAACCCCGACCTTGCCGTGGGCAGGAGGCCTCTCAGTGCTCAGCACCTTCAACTCCCCCTCCCAACTCACCGTGGCATTAACGGCCAGGTACATCATGGCCCCTAAGGTGTGAGTCAGTTTCCCAAGAACCAACTGGTCATCTCCCAAAAGGTCGAAGGTCACCAGAGGCCTACAACACAGAATTGAGCAAATGGGGCAGCGCAGGCACCTCGGGGCAGGCTCCCCGCTTCCTGGGCCACCAACGGAGACCCTGGGAAGCTCCACAAAGCCTCTCCTGCATTCAGCCCCCGACCCCACGTGGCACCAAGAGAGCCATGGGAGAAAGTGTTTCCAGATGCCCGGTCGCTCTGCAGGACTGCCTGGCACGGCCCAGCCCTGGGTTGGGAGCTCCCAAGGCCAAGACTCCCACCCCCGCCGCACTGCGACCTAGGCCCAGCCTCTGCGCTGCCACCCACGAGCCGCACACTGTGACCTGGGGGGCGCAGCTCTGGCTGGGGCAGGCCGGGCGAGGGTGGCGTCTGCCAGCACGTGCCACACCAGCCCCACCGTGCACCCTTCATCTGGGAACACAGATCGAGGATGAAAACCTCACCACAGAGCTCAGAGCACGGGAACGTGGCGGAACATTCTGCATCGTTTAAGTTAAGCTTGCAAAAACGGTGAAGGTCAGGACCCGTTCGTGCCCCAAACCCCACTGGACCCCACCTGGGAAACCCTGGCCTCAGGGCGTGTCAGGGCTCCTGTCCCCTAAATCCACAGGCCTGTGGAAAACCCACTCACCTGTCGAAGCGCTGAATGAGGGGGAAGAAGAAGCAGCCGGCCACGGAGTTGAACGCGTTGGGACCGCCCACGGGCCCCAGCCGGGGCGCGCCCTGCCAACACCACACGGCGCTCACGGAGGTGCCCGGCGGCCGCGAGCAGCCCTCCCACCCACGCAGGACGGGCACAGCCGCGCAGCCCCAGGCCCTGTGCCGACGGCGACGGGACTCGGGCTAGCTCGGCTCAGACCAGGGATCCCAGCCTCGCGCTCGGACGCTCAGGGCTGGACAGTGCCCGCGGTGGGGGCTGCCCTGCGCGCTGCGCGGCTCTGAGTGACCTCCCTGGCTCCCCCCCACCCAGCCACAGCCAGAAGTCTCCAGAATTCCCCACACATCCCAAAGTGGGGCGAGACCACTCTCGGCCTAGATCGACCCCAACGACAGAGCACCCGCGGGTCGCCCGCTTCTGAGCTGCATCCTGGGACCAGTCTGACCGTCCTGGAGCACTGTCACATCCCTCGGTTTGCACCGTGACCCTCCCTGCAAGACCACCGGTGCTGGCGCCACCCGCCCCCTGCTTGCAGACAGCGCCTGGAGCTAACTGGCCACCACAGTGCCCCTGCCCGCGAGGCTGACCTTGGAGAACCGCCGGGTCTTGCTTCTGATCCGCTCCTCCACCGCCAGCCGCCAGTCGGGAGCCGCGGCGCTGCCAGGCTGAGAGGCGGCCAGTGGCGGCGAGCAGTAGGTGCCAGGACCAGGGTGGCCGTGCTGTGCAGCCCTCCTGAGGCGGCCAGGCCGGGACAGCTCCTGGGCAGCCAGGGTCAGGACCTGGAGGGCCGGAGACACCTGGGCAGTCCCATCGCTCTGGGGACAAATGACACTCCTAAGTTACCCACCGAGCATGCACAGCCTCAGTGAACACAAGTGCTGCGCGACAGGGCCCAGGTGGCCTCCCCCAGACGCCACGTCCGCCAAGGAAGCCAAACACGAGGCCACGTGCACATGACTCCATTTCCCCGAAACGTCCAGGGAGGCAAGTCCCAGACAGGACGCGGGCTGGGCGGGAGCGAGCTTGCCCGCGGGGCCTCGGAAACCTCCAGAGCAGATGGTGAGTGTACCACACACCACCCAATTGTTCACTTAAAAATGGCCAGTTCTTTCCGATGCCCTCTTGGTCCTTCTTCTTTTATTGTGGCAAAACATCACATTTACCGTTTTAACCATTTAAAAATGTACATTTCCACGGTGTTAATAAGTGTATTTGTGTTGGGCAACCACCACCAGCACCTGCCTCCAGAACTCTCCCGTGTTCCCAAATCGAAGCTCTTCCCGGTAACACTCACCCCACCCGCTCCCGCAGCCCCGGCACCCCCGCTCTGCCGTCTCCGCGGCCCTGACGCCCCTCACAGTCCACGTAAATGCAACCCGATGACACGCTGGCCTTTGACACTGGCTCAAGCATAATGTGTTCACGGTTTATCCATGTTGTAGCATGTATCAGAATTTCAGGTTTTTTACAGCTGAGTAATATCCCACAATTTATCCCAAAATGGTGTATTTTGTGGTATGTGAATTATATCAGTAAAACTATTGCTTTAAAGACAAAAGAACTCAGCTGTCAAGCCCCAACTCCGCCACTGCTGAGTGCCACCTGTTGTCACACGCAGCAGGCAGAGGCCTGTCCAAGCCCCTCGGGTCCAGCGCCAAGGGGATTCCTGGACCTTGGCCCTGACGGGGGACAGAGGCCCAGTGACACTTACATCCAGGATGTCCATGCGCTGCCGGAGGCTGTAGTTCAGAGCGTAGAACTGCGAGGTCAGATACTCGGCTACCTGAGTGCGCAAAGGAAGCCGCTAGGACCCCACAGGCCACCCAGGGCTGCCCTCGGGCACCAGACAGAGCCTCAAGCGTGCCCCGCTGCGCCTGCACTGGCCAGGGCACTGGCTCACCCTAGCCGGGTCCGTGACAGTGACGGCCACCAGGGCTCTCTGGCGCAGCCCCTCAAATCCCGCCACACAGGTCCTCTCCTCCAAGTGCAGCAGCACCTTGGCCAGCTCCACGCTCACCTGCACACAGGGTAGGAATCGGGATGCCTGCAGCCCCGGGCCACCTGCCCACGGCCCCACCTGCCGCCCACCCCAACAGAAGCAGCAGCCACTGAATCACACACAAGCCAGATACCACCCTCCGGGACCCAGGACGCAGACAGTGCCTTCCCCCCTGCCCCGCCGCCCCACGCCCGCTCACCTCCCGGGTGGCCTCGGGACTCTTGCAGACGAGGCCCTCCAGGGCCCGCAGGGCTGCCTCCCAGCGCTCCCCATCCTCAGACGTGGTGAGGGCTGCACATAACCCAGATGGGCCTCGGTCACTCTCAGCACTGACCCTGAGCCAGGCGCCGGCAGCCACACCTGGTGTCCTGCTGAGGGCTTGCTGGCAGCCCGGAGTGTCAGGATGAGGGCTGTCCAGGGCTGGGGACCGCCCCACGGAGCAGACAGCAAGGCCCACCTGGGCCCACACCCACCTTCCACGCAGTCCCGGACATATGCGGGCGCCTTGCTGCTCTTGAGCTCTCTGTCCCCCGACATGTCATAGGGGACAAACTCATCGTCACTGGGGAAGGAACAAAGTGGACACAGAAGCGCCCACAGCCCATGAGAAGCAGCCCCAAGAGCTGGCTCAGCGCCCCCTCCTCCCTCCCAAAAACACGCGAGTTCACACCCAGGTCCCTGCAGCCCTCGGGAGGGGCTGAGGGGCGGCAGGGGCGAGAGCTGCAGCACTCACGTGTGGACTAAGGAAGAAAAGAATGGAGTCGGCAGGCCACCGTGGGCCACAGCACTGCCCCTGCCCAGCGTGCAGCGGAGTCCGTGGTGCCCACCCACAGGGGAGCAGGCAGCCAGGGCTACCAGGTCACGGAGCCCTGCCCCTACCTGTCCAGCTCCGAGTCGGAGCCCTCCAGCTGTGCCTGGGGGACACTGCTGTCCACAGCCTCTGCAGGGGTCTCTGTAGGGGTCTCTGCGGGGGCTGGAGCCAGGGACGGGCTTCTGGGGACCAGTAAGAACAAACTGTTCCAGGCCCCCTCGAGCATCCGGTCCCAGAACCTGCTTGTCCGTCAGAATCGCTCTCCCCCTCCCCCGCCCCCGCTCTTTAGCTCCTGTCCTGGCCCCTGGACCTTGGATGCCCAGCACACACGGACTCGGGGCCAGGGACGCGCAGACCCTCACCCCGCCTCCAAGGCGCCACCGCCCGCTGGCCCGGGGGTGGCCAAGGCCCGCATCTCTCGGCTCAGCTCGTCCTCTTCATACTGCAGGCGCAGACAACCGGGTCAGAGACACCCACGGGCGGCATCCCCCCAAGGGGACAGAGGCACAGCCAGCCCTCGCAGCCCAGCCTCTCCCATGGCGCAGCTTCGGACAGCCGGTCGCCTTTCAAAAGCAACTTCCCAAGTGTCCACTCGGGCTGAGGGCCAGACAGGCCCCGACTTCTCCTGAAGGAGCGGGGAGTCCCCCAGGGGCTCGGCAGACGGGGAGGGGACACACCCCAGGCAATTGCTCCCTCCACCCACAGCTGCGCGCGAATCCCCGTCCAGATGAGCCTGCCGACACGTCCAGGGCATCCGCTCTAGGGGAACAGGCGCTCGGCCCGGACCCTGCCTGGCCCCCCAGGAGCTGAGGGCCGCACCTGCGACCCCCAGGTCTCGGCCCTCCACATGGCCAACACGGAGACTCCGCGAGGCTGGACCCCAGGAAGGCGAGGCAACACGGGGGCCGGAGTGACAGCCTCTCAGGTGACCCGGGCCAGCCACGCGGAGGGGACATGGAGGGGACAGCTCGGCTCACCTGGAACCTCAGGGGAGGCCCCTCGGGGTGGAGGCGGGCACTGACGACCTCGGCCACGATCATGCCCAGGTGGCGCATGGCGGGCAGGCTGCTGTCGAGGCGGCACTTCACGCCCGCCATCATGCTGCCTAGCAGTTCTGCAAGCACCAGACGCGCACCCTGAGCACCTCGGGGCGCCCAGGGCCAGGGGCGCCCGAGCCGCCTGCTCACCGTCCCGGCTGTCCCACAGCTCCGCGTCCCCCAGGTGCGCCAGGCAGATGAGCACGGCCTTGCTGATGTAGCGCTGCTGCGGCAGCGGCGTGTGTCGGATGGCGCTGCTGCTGCCCCACGTGTCCAGCAGCTCCTTCAGCGCCTGGCGGGCGGCACGGCCCAGGACCACGTGGGCTCGGCGCCCGGCTCTCCTCGCCAGCACCAGGCCACTGAGGGAGGCCCCAGCACGGGCAGAGCCGGCCCCTCTCTGCCCTGCCCACCAGAAGGTGGTCCCTGCGCGGCCCTTCTCCCGGGGACCCGGAGGGGACACAGGGACGGGCGGGACTTACCTGCAGGAGGAGCGGGCGCCGTTGGCTGTCCATGGCCAGGTACCCCAGCAGGCTCTGCAGCACGGGCGTCTGCAACGAAAGCCGCATCCTGTCTGCCAGGCGGAGACACTCACCGCCCGGCCCAGGTCTCCCGGAGGCCGAGTCTCGTCCCGCCGGGGCCTGGGATCGGCACAGGTCTGGGCCGGCAGCCGTGGGACGGGCGTGCAGGGGCCACCCTCCGCCCCCGGCAAGTGGGGACCCAGGAAAGCTGCGCAAACGAGAGCTCCGGCCGCACAGGGCACACTCTGCTTCTGCACGCGTCACTTTGGACACAAAATTCTTCTGAGGGAGTTTCCATTTCATCGAGTTTTCAGACTGGCTGTACAGAGTGACACGCAGCATCGGGTCTCCTGGACCCCTGGAGGGTGGGAGCCCCTCGACACCATGGGCCCGCGCTGCCTCGCCTCACGCTGGTCCTCCGCGTCCGTGTTTTCCGCCCCAGCACAGTCTGCCCTCGACCTGCGTGTGGTTCCTCCGCTGCCGTCTGACTTTGCCTTTCTCGTCACTCAGGTGGCACCCAGGGGGACGAATCCCTCCTCTCGCGCAGGCCGCGGCCCTGTGCTTCCCGCGGACGCTGCACGTTCAGTTCCAGCCTCTTCGTTGCCGTGGCTCCTCGCTTGCTCCTCCGGTGACTGCGTTCAGGGACGTCCTGGAAACTGCTCAGCTGTCCCCTCTTGCTGCTGCTTCCTCGTCCTGACGGCCCCGCCCTCCAGGACCGTGACCCCTGGCTGTCCACTCCGGCACCTGCGCGTCTTCTCTGTGGCCTCGTCCCCTGGTTTGTCTCTTGCTCCAGGGACTTGGAAGGCTGTGAGCTCGGTCGGGTTCAGGGGCCTTGAACGCTTGGCAGGACAGCCCGGGCTGTTCTCCCCGCAGGGGCTGGCTAGGGCATCTCTAGTCGCCCCCGCCTACCCCCTGAACACGGCCGGGCTGTGCAGAGCTCGAGGTGACGCCACCCTGCCTCGACGCCCGCTGTGCTGTGCCCCAGGGCGCACAGGGCTCCGCACGTGGCGGCCCCACCACGCTGCAGGCAGGTGCGAGTGAGGGTCATCTCTGCCCTGGCCCCTTGGCCTCCTGCAGCCAGACCAAGTCTCTGACACAGTTGGGTGTTGTCACCTCTACTCCAACCCTCCAGCTGCCCCGTCGCACCACGAAGACGCCACAAGGCTCTGGATCTGGCCGCCCTCGCCTCTCCCTCCTCCCCAGCCTCCTGCTCTGCGCAGCCACACGGGGCCCAGCACCAGCTTGGGCCAGCCCGGCCAGTCCTGCTCAGAGGCTGCCGCTCAGGGCCTCGTGCCAGGCCTGTCTCTGGGGGCCACACCCTGCTGCCTCAGGGGTCTCATCACCGTCTTCACAAGCCCCGTGGCACTCGTCCGCCTGGGCCCCGAGCACCTGATAGGTCACACCGTAGCGTGCAGGTACCACGCGTCACACCACGGCGTGCACGTGCGGCATCTTCCTCCCTCCCTACAGCGTCAACCTCACGGGGAGGGCCTGCGGCTCTTTTGCCCACAGTGACACGTTCAGCACCCAAGAAAGAACTTGGCGCGTGGTGGGCACCCGGCAAGTACTGCTGAGTGAGAAGACAAGCCGCAGTGCGCCCCAGCTCTGGCCTGCAGGGACCCGTCCTGGCCGGCGCCACAGCCTGAGACACCCACCCCGCCCTGACAGCCGGCTGGCCCTCGGGGCAGAGCCTGGCACCAGGACACAGGGACGGTGGCAGTCACGGGTCGGGGAACACACAGCCCGGGTCCGGACCTATCAACCCGGGCACAGAGCACAGCTGGCGAGGGCGGCTTCTGGGGGACGGGAGGGTTGAGGGACGTGTGACGCACTGGCCCAGACCCGGCGCCGCGGGGCCCACCAACGGGCCAGACGGAGCCCCTGCTGCATTGACTCCTGCAGCCTGCCGAATGGCGGCGACACGTTCCCTCTGAGCGCACTTTTGTAGCCGCTCTGTGACCTGGGGCAGTCCCGCCACGCGCTTGCTTGCCTGAGTTCTCACCGTGAGTCGGTACTGCAGGAACAGAAGCTTCCGGGTCACCACAAACCGGGCTTTCTTATTCTTCACCACCAGGTTCCCCAGCAGCCGCGACAGGACTTCGGGCCTACGAGGTGGAGTCCAGAGGGGTCGGAGTCACGAGCAGGGGCAGGCAGGGGGAGGGGAAAGCACCGACCCAGCTGTGGCAGAGCCAGGATGGATGCTGGGCCCTGCCGCTTGCTGGCCGTGAGCCTGGGGCCAGTCCTCGGACGATCTCGGCTGGCCTTAACCCTTCCTTCTGCAGGGCCAAAATGCAGAACCCCGAGAGCCTGGACCGCGGCTGTGAGGGGTCAGCACACACGGCGTCCTGGCCCGGCTCTGACCAGGTCCAAGGTGAGTTCCTCGTCTAGAGCGGGGGCAGCAAACCTCTTACGTGAAAAGCCAGAGAGTAAATGTTCTAGGTTTATAGACCACACGGTTTTCGCAGCAAGCATTCACTCCTGCCGACGTAGCCAAAAGCAGCCAGAGCGCACCTGTGAGCCAGCGGAGCTTTATTTACAGGCTGAGCAACAACGAGACCCCGTCTGTACTAAAAACAGAAAAAATTAGCCGGGCATGGTGGCCCGTGCATGTAGTCCCAGCTACTCGGGAGACTGAGGCAGGAGGATCACTTGAGCCCAGGAGTTTGAGCTGTGATGATGCCACTGTACTCTATCTAGTTCGAGTGACAGAAAAATACCCTGCTTCAAAATAAAATAAAATAAAATAAAACAAAACAGAAATTACACAGGTGGTCACCACTGGCACCTGCATTTGCCGGACCAATTCGACAGCCAACCTGCAGCAGCAAGTTTGGGGGGACAGGCAGGGAGGGGCTGTCGCACCCCAGGGCACCAACACGGGGTACTGGCTGCAGGCTGGAGCCCAGGAAAAGTAGCCCGAAGGAACGGCAGCCTCAGGAGAGTCAGGGCCCACCCCACAGAGGGAGACGTCGGCAGCAGGAAGAGCGCCAGGCTGCTTACCCTGGAGCGGCCTCCACGAACCCCGTCAGCACGGCCTCCACAGCCCGGTCCGGCACTTGTTCTACCAGGCGCCAGCAGACCCGCTGCCAGAGGCAGCTGCCCTCGGTGAGTGTGGTCAGCCCGGGCACCAGCACGCCCAGAGTCTCCTCTGAGGGGACACAACGGTCCCCTGAGCCTCGGAAGCGGCACCTGCCCCGGGCTCCGGGGTGCGAGCAGGGCGCACCGCCAGCTCCCCGGGTGGCACAGCCCAGCCCCGGACCCGAGGGGCCCCGGACAGCTGACACCACCGACTCAGGGGCCCGTGGGGGATCGGGGCCAGGTGGGATTCTCGACCGTCCACACGATGGCCAACGGGATGGTCGGGGTGGGGACAGGGCGGAAAGCACTGCTCTACTCACGCTGCCTCCCGTGGACACAGACTTTCCCCAGGACTTGAGACACAAAGGAGACGGAGCAGTCCGAGCCACCTGGGAGGGAAAGGAAGACCCTTTACCAGAAACGGCGTAACGACAGCTCCCAGGTGGAGACAGGCCTTGCTCTCGGACAGGCAGGCCCCACGCTGCACAGCTCAGTCTGGTTCCAGCCGCTGTCTGTGCATTAACAGCAAGAGCCATCGATACCGCGCGAAAAAGCATTACCCATAGAGGGTCACTTAATGGTCACGACGATCCTACAAAGTCAGGATGAGAATAACATCTCCGAGGAGGAAAAGAACTGAGGGGACCCAGCCACGGTGGGTCAGCCACGTGGGGTGGGCCTGGGAGTACGGAGCCACCCGCAGGGAAGGGACAGACGCCCGCACCCGTGAAGTGAGCCTTGAGGGAACATGGGGAGCAAGGGGAGGGGCAGGGGCACCAGCTCTGTGAGAGGAGCAGGGCCGCTGAGGCTGACTGGTGGACAGCCACGGAGCCACGCGTGGGGGCACAGCATGGGCGACAGGGCGGGGGTGGTGGCATGTAGGTTAGTCGAGATGAACCCAACGCAACCGCTGCGAGTGTGAGGAAGACGCACTGCACGCGTGTTCTGGGAGCATCAAGGCATCAGCCAGCGCCCAGCAGCAGCTCCGAGCCAGAGCCACAGTCAGAAAAGACGGGAGGGAGCTCGGGAGGTCACCGCAAGCACCAGGTGAGACGAGGTGGCTCAGTCAGGTGGGGGCCGTGCAGGACTCGGGGGGTCTCCCGGGAGCTGGGCCTGAGCACGGGAAGGAGTTAGCGAGGGCCAGGTGGGAGTGGCCCGCGGAGCAGGCCAGGGACGGCCGGGCAGGGCCACACCAGGTGCCCCTGAGGAGTCTCTCGGGCTGTGTAGGGCTCGAGAAAGGTATGGAGGAAGAGTCGCTGACAGGTCTAGGGCCCGGCAGCCACTCCCACGCGGCACTCACTCTCCCCACTCCAGACACACAACTGGGAACCACTGTTTTATCGTTTTTTTTTTTTTGAGACAGGGTCTTTCTCTGTCACCCGGGCTAGAGTGCAGTGACGTCACCACAGCTCACAGCAACCTCAAACTCCTGGGCTCAAGCGATCCTCTGGCCTCAGCCTCCCAAAGTGCTGGGATTACAGGCCCACGCCACTGGAACAAGCCAGGAGCCACCTCTGATCCCCCAGTGAAGACAGGGTAACCTAAACCGCCAGGCAGGGCTTTGTAACTGATCGACAGGTAAGCGAGAGGCCACAGCTCCTGCCCACGCAAGGCAGCCTCCACCCTGCCACCCGAGTACACTGTGGCACCCACAACATGCAGCAAACGAAGGCCAGTGCGACAAACCCAAGGCAGCCAGGGGAAGGGACCTCAGCCAAGAACGAAGATGGGCCTCCCGCCGTTCAGAGCGAAGGACCTTCCTGCGGACGCCGAGCGAGGGGCAGGGAGCGGCAAACCCCACCCTGATGACTTCACCAAATGTCCAGCCACGAACTGAAGGAATCAAGAGGCAGCCCCACCTCCCGACGTCAAAAGCCAGGAAGGACGGAACTTCAGCATGTGGTCACTGCTGTCCAAGACAGGGACATCACCTGACCTAACAGCATCACCCAGAGACTGCAAAGACCCTGGAGGCCGTGGGACACCAGAGAGGGAAGCGGGGGACGACAGTCCAAGAAGATGGGTTGGAAGAGGGACACCGAGGGAGGGCCTTACCTCGCAGAGAGTCCACGACGGCCTGCAGCACCCGGACGGCCTCCTTGCCGAGCAGAGGGAAGTAGTTCTGAGGCAGGAACTCGGCCAGGTTCCCCCGCTGCAGACAGTTGCCCAGGCGATCAGGCAAGCCCACCACCCTGCTGAGCAGCGTCTCACGGAGCAGGGGAAAGCCGGGCGACGTCCGCTGCCGACACTGCGCCTCCATCAGAGCCGCCATCCTGCCCGCCCTCAGGAACTCGGCCAGCAGCTGCGCCATTCTCATCAGACGGAAGCTGGGGCTGAACACATGGGAGCATTGGGCGGAGGCCTCAAAGTCCCTCCCTCGTCAGCACCCCCCTGTAGCCACAAGGACTCCCAGCAGCCCATTACTGAACAGGCAGTCCCGCCAACTTGATTAGCGTTTATGTTACAACTCGATAGTTAAAAGGAAAAACCTTTTTTATAAGCTTTGGTTCTGGTTACAAACAAAATAAGAAAGAAAGAGCCTCTTAATTCCGCTCTTAAACCACCACGACGCCTAGTGGGTGCGAGAGCTCGCAGACCCACACAGCTCCCCACTGGGTGTCACGCTGGAGGCTCCACTCCCCTCCGGCTCCACGCCGACCGAGGCTCCGCGCTCGCTAGCCGCGCAGCCTCTAAAACCCAGCTCCTCAAAAACACGGCATCCTCGCAAGGACCGCAGTGACCTGATGTTGGACCGGGGAGCCCCCTGGAGCCAGGAGTCCGCATCAGACACCTGCCGGCTACGCTGTGCTCCCCTGAGAGCTGGAGTGTCCTGAGGAGCCCTGTGAGTTTACTGCGGTGCCCGGGTGCCTCACTGCAGGGCTGGGAACCAGAGTGGCAGAAAGGGCCCCAGGGTGACGGCACAGGCCAACTGTCTGCCCAGGTCACTGGGCCCTGAGATGTGAACACTCCCACTCCTGTCCTGCTCCAACACAGCAGGACAGAGGACACAGCGTGCGACAGGGAGATACTGCAGGTCCTTCCCACTGCAGAGGAGAGGGACACAAACCGCTTTTACGTTCGGGCATTCAGCTGTTCGCTGGCAACCCCAGCACCTTTTAGGATGCTGAACTCTCACAGAATTTAGAGAACCTGTTGGCCCGCAGTCCTACAGACCTCTCTTATACTTCCGAGGTCCCAACGACCCGTGCTCAGACCCAGCGCCACTCACCCTGCAGTGCTCTCGATGGACTCCATCAGCACCAGGAAGGCTTGGTCGGCCGGGCCCTCCAGGAAGAAGCTGGCCCACAGCTCCTCCAGCCGGCCGTCGGGCAACAGCTCCAGCCAGCCGGGGCTCATCACGGCCAGACGTCTGAGAACCGGGGAGAAGTGCACTGTGGCAAACTCCTCCTTCTCCCTGGGGAGGGCTGGGCTCTCCGTGTCACTGAGATACCGCTTCAGGGACCCCAGGGTGGAGAAGATGTGGCCACCATCCTCAGATGATGACAGGGTGTGCAAGGCGTCCTGGACAGCGAGTCGGACCTCGGAGCGGGCGGGATCCATCCTGCAGCACAGGCCTGGATGCAGGAGAAAGCGCACGTTAGAAAGCCCAGAAGTCTTTGGCGTGAACGCGACTCGGTCCAGGGGTCACGGAGCATTTCTTCACACACCCTCAGGACCCCACCTCCCGCCCCTGGTCCGACCCAACCCTGTCCTCAGCTGCTCCCTGCCCCTCTCCGTGCCTGCAGCCTCTGACACTTTCCACCAAGAGTCGGCTCCTGGGCGCGCGCCCCGGGGACACTGAGACGTTGTCACAACCGGGGGTGCCACTGGCCAGCGACGCTGGCAAACACCTCGGAACCGATGTCAGCAGGGCCCACGCGGGAACCCGGTCCGGCGGCACCTGCCAGCGCCAGCCCGGAGCGGTGAGTGACCTGCGGCCCGGGCCGCTCGCGGGGAACGCGGGTCCCGCAGCCCCGAAACGGCTCCGCCAGGACCCGACCCGACCCGGACCAACCCAGCCCGGCTCCCGAGGGGCCGCGCGCGCTCAGGTCCCGCTCGCCGCCGATTCGCCACGGCCTCCGCGGCCCCGCGCCGAGTTCTGTGGCGGCCCGAGCACGAGCTCCGGGAGCGGGAGCGGGCGCAGTCACCTCGGGCTCTCCGGAGCCTCCCGAGCCGGTTCCCGCCGCCGCTCGCCACGAACTTGCCGAGCGCGCGCGGCTGCGTCTGCGCCTGCGCCGGAAGGCGGGCCGGGGTCAGACGGGGCGGGGCCTGCCCTCCCCACGTGGTGCGGGCCGTTCCCGCCGCGCCGGCTCCCCTCGGTCCTCCCTCCGCGGAGTGACGTCAGCCGCCCCGCCCTCCGCGTCAAGAAGACCGGGCCGGAAGTGAGAGCTGCGTCCAACACGCCACCGCCGGGTGCCTGAGGCTGTGTACGTGAGCCGGAATGAAACGAATTACAAATCCGGCCGGGCGCGGTGGCTCACGCCTGCAGTCCCAGCGCTCTGGGAGGCCGAGGCGGGAGGATGGCTTGAGGCCAGGAGTTCAAGACCAGCCTGAGCAAGAGCGAGACCCCGTTTCTACTAAAAATAGAAAATTAGCCGGGCTTCATAGGGCGCACCTGTAGTCCCAGCTACTGGGGGGGAGACTGAGGCAGGAGGATCGCTTGAGCCCAGGAGTTGGAGGTTGTAGTGAGCTATGATGACGCCACTGCTCTCTAGCCCGGGTTGTCACCTGTCTGAAAAAAATGAGAGACAGAGGACAGTGGGAGTGTTATTTTAGGCAAGGTGAGGCCTCTGAAAAGGAGACATTTGAGCACAGCGCTAAATGTGGTGAATACCTAAGAGTTTACCTGGCAGCAGAAACCTGCAGTGCACATGCCCGAGGCCACAGGTGTGGCCAGGGAGGTGGAGCTGAGGGCAGAGAGGCAGCCACAGCCCTGGAAGGCCAGGCTGGGACTGCGGATTCTGCAGTGCGCTGGGCAGCTCCCGGAGGGGTTGAGGAATGGGTGTCAGGATCTAACTTCCCTAAAAGTCCACACTGGGCGCAGTCAGGAGAACAGCCGGTGGGGCAGCCTCGGCACCGCGAGCCCAGCTGGGCAGACGGAAGGACGGGCTCAGGAAAGAGCGAGTGTTGAGAAGCCACTAAACTCGGGGTGTTTCTTTGGAGGCAGAGCTGACGGATTGGGTGCAGGGTGTGAGGATGGGAGGACAGCACCTTCCTGGGACTCTGCAGGCGTCCCCTCATGCCAGGAACTGCGCCAGTCCACTGCTAGGCTACAGCCCTCTCCAGCGCCCACGGCAACTTCATTCCTCCTTTACCCGCTATTGTCCTGAAGCCCGACATCTGGTAACTTCCCAGCGAAGGGTGCAGGGAAGATAATTTCTCAAGCCTTTGCGTGTCTGAAAGTGTCCTTGTTCTTGCTCCTGATTGACTCCCGCTGGAGCCGGGCGCACAGCTGTAAGCAGAAATGGTAAGGTTTGCTCCTTGGTCTCTGGCACTCAGCATCGCTATTGAGAGGCAGCTCTGGGGAAAGTCTCAATCCTGCCCCAGTGACCAGGCTTTTCTCTGGATGCTTTTAGCATCTTCTCGAGTCCGTGGTGTTCTGACACGTGACAAGATGAGGCTTGGGACCACGCCGTCTCGGGGACGGTGGATGCCCTTGTAGGGGACACCTCGTGATTATCTTAGCACCACAGACTGGGTGGCTTCAAACAACAGAAGTTTATCCCATCACAGCTCTGGAGGCCCGAGGTCTGAGAGCAAGTGCCGCGCTCCCGCTGGGGCTTGAGGGAAGTGTCCCACTTTGTCTCTTCCAGTTTCCGGGGGCTCCAGGTGTTCCTCATGGCAGCATCACTCCAAGCTCTACCTCGGTCTCCACGCGGCCTTCTCTTGTGCGTCTGCCCCTCCGTCTCTTGTAAGGACGCTTGTCATTGGATTTAGGGCCCACCTGGATAATCCAGGATGACCTCATCTCAAATCCTCAATTGCACCTACAAAGACCCTTTTTCCAGGTAAGACCCTTTTATCACAGGTACACAGGTTAGGACTTAGACATACGCATTTGGGAGGCATCATTCGACCCACTACAAAACCTGTGCCCAAAAATTAATAAATTAAGGTTGCTCCCAATCACATTTCCATTGCTTGAGAGAGAGAGAGAGAGAGAGAGCACGAGGGCCGTGCGGGCCTGGATGCTGGATGCCAGCGCAGACCTGGCTCTGTTGACTTCCCAGCCCCAGTCAGGTTCCCTGTGCTGCTCCAGCTTCTGGGGAACATGTCGATGTGCTCCTGTTAAAGCCATAACCTCCTCTCTGCCTCTGAGCCAACCAGACAAGGGTTTGCACCCTGTAGAATGATTCTCCAAACATAATGTTTGCATCTGTTTTAAACTTGTCTCCTTGGGAACCTCCAATTCTCAGAGCCTGTGGCTTGAAGGCAGATGCCTTTCGTCGAGGTGGCAGGAAGCACCTGACATCCAGCCAGGGCGCAAGAAGGAAAATCATTCAGCCGGAGAGCTGGGAGAAGCGTAGGACGAGACAGATGCATGAGGCTGACACTGCCTTCTCCTGCATTCGGGCAGGAGACAGCGGGAGCCTGGTCATTCCTCAGGATGGGTTTCTCGGGGAGGAAGACCCTGTCTTTCTTCCTTATTTTTGTGCTTGTTTATCTATATGGGGCTTCATCGCAGGAAGCTGGCCCAGCAGGGCCAAGGAAACCATTTTTTGAGAGGCTGCGTAGACTAGAAGAACAGGCAAGTATACCCAGGACTTGGGGCGGTTGGTATTTTAAACTGGTAACAGACGAAGGACAGGTATTGCAGAAACAGCAGTGAACGGCAGAGTGTGGTGGAAACAAATGTGGCGTTTGCAGTTCTTTCTGTCAGCTCACGTTTTCACCCTTTTCTAACCATAGTTGGAAACCAGCGAGGAAGTTTGCCGGGCTGTGCTCTGGGGACCAGCCATGGGGCGTGTGAGGGTTGCGTGGGGCCAGAAGCTCAGACGGGATCAGGGGCCCAAGGAGCACAGCTGGGGGTGTGGGGGTGCTGGGGGCCAAGGGGCCAGGCAGCGTCGCTGGGCACAGGAGCTGTGAGGTCACGAGCTGCCTCAAAGCAGAGGACGCGGACACCCCCGAGACTCCTGTGTGGGGTCCACAGACTGTCCCCGAGTGCCCTGCATGTCAGGCCTGCACCAAGTGCTTCCTGTCTAAGCCGAATCGAGCGCTCACAGGGCCTCCCCTGCCGCCTTCCACACACAGGCAGGACCTGGTCACAGCGGTAAAGTGACCGGCTTGTGTTCACCCAGAGCACGGGCATGAGGGAGGGACAGAAGCCCAGGCGGTGGCCCTGGAGCCCCCACCCACACAGTGCAGCTGTGGCCCTGGGGTGGCTCACTGGCCTCTCTGCGCTCGGCCCCGATGGGGCCGGCCATGGAACTCCCACCTTGTCTCATAGAATGGCGGTTGATCCCTACGAGGTCCCGACCATGACCCGGGCACGTGGTAGGGGCTACGACAGTGTGAGCAGGAAAGTCTCATTCCCACCCCGCCCTGGCCCGCGCCCCACACTCGCTCCATGTCCTCTTTACAGTTTCGGAGATTCCAAGAGGCAACCTTGACACACCTGCAGGGCGTCGCCAGCAACCACAACGTTTCCTGGAATGTTGACGTCCGGTTCCGGAGCCTCGCAGAAGAGAGCCAGGCCGTGGCCTTGGCGCTCAACCGGTCGCAGGCCGCCGTGCAGGGGGACCTGGCCCACCTCAGGGCCTGGATGAGGAAGATTGAGCGCAGGAGCCGGAAGGCGGACTCCAGGCTGCAGGCCCTGGACCTCGCCCTGAGCAAGAAGAGTGAGCTGCGGGCCCGGGAGAGGAAGGGGCAGAAGGACGTGGCCTCCAGACTGGCCCGCGACGTGCAGGCCCTGCGGGACGTGCTGGCTCGCCTCTCCCACCTTGTCCACAGCCAGGGGGCCAGGCTGGCTGCTCTGGAGGGGCGGCTGCTCGTGGCCAACCTTGGCACCGCAGCCCCAAGCCCGGCTCAGCCCGAGCGGCTCGGCCCGAGCTCCCTGAAGCTGCAGCGGGGCAGGCAGGCGCTCAGAGCCACGCCTGAGCCCAGCAGCGCCCCTCAGGACTCTGCTGCACAGCCCCAGGGGACACGGGGGCCCCCAGCCTCAGGCGGCCATCAGGCATCTGATGGGGCTACCGCAGCCCTGAGGGACCCTCCTCGGCCGGCGTGGACCCCCCAGAGACCAGGAGAGAGTAAGTACCGCGGCCCGCCCTGCCCCATCGCTGTTGCAGGCTGCCCCAGGTCCCCCATAGACCAGTCTCCTCTGAAAAGGCTGCTCCCAAGGGCTGTGTGGAGGGGACCCCAACGTCACCCTCCACACACTGTGCCCCAGAAGTAAGGGACAGGCCCAACCCTGTCACTTGTCCAGGTGGCAGCACGCGTGCAGTTCCCAGGTACCTTCCGTGGCAAAAGAGGCTCTACAAGGGTGATTAAGTTAGAGACCTCGGGGGGGGGGGGCTCATCCTGGGTGGGGGTCCCCGTGTATGGGGTCTTCAGGAGAGGTGGGGCGTCCTCACGAGAGGTAGGGGGTCCTCAGGAGAGATAGGGGTAGGCAGGAGCGACAGGCAGGGAGGCCGACGCGAGGGGGAAGCAGAGGTTGGAGGGAGGCCGGGAAGGGGCCGGAGCCCAGGAGTGTGGGCGCCTGGAGACACTGTGGAGGGAGCCACCCCTCCCCCGAGACTCCAGCGGAAACCACCCCTGCCGACACCTTGATTCGAGGCCCGTGAGACCTGTGTGGGACCTCTGACCTCCAGAAACGTAAAATAATAAGCCTGTGCTGTTATAAGTCACTATATTTGTGACGATTTTTTACAGCAGCACCAGGAAACGCTCACGGAGGCCTGGCAGGGAGGAGCTTTGGCTCAGCTTTGTGGGCTGACAGCTCAGGTCCCCATTGGGACTCGGCCACCCCCTGGGAGGGCCTCAGCCTTCCCACCTGTGAAATGGGGTGATCAATCTTGAGGTTCAATTAAGGGACGCTGCAAGGAGCCCTCAGCAGGGCTGGCCGAGGGGCAGGGCTCACCGCGGGGTGGCTGCTGGGAGCCCAGCCACACCCACTGGGGTGAGGGGCAGCGCATGCCACAGGGCCTTGTGGTGCAGGCTGGCCCTCCCGCCCTCTGTTCCTAGGGTGCAGCGGAGGCCCTGTGCTCGTTTTCCCGAACGCCTCCACCGAGAACGTCGTCTCCCTCAGCCCTGGCTTCCTCACGGCCCTGCGAGCCCTGTCCTTCTGCAGCTGGGTCCGAACAGCCTCTGGCCACCTGGGCACCCTCCTGTCCTACGCCACGGAAGACAATGACAACAAGCTGGTGCTGCACGGCCGAGACTCCCTCAAGCCTGGCTCCATCCACTTTGTGATTGGAGACCCCGCCTTCAGGGAGCTGCCCCTGCAGCTGCTGCTGGACGGCCAGTGGCACCACGTCTGTGTTCTCTGGACTTCCACCCAGGGCAGGTACTGGCTCCACGTGGACCGCAGGCTAGTGGCCACTGGCTCCCACTTCAGGGAGGGCTATGAGATCCCCCCTGGAGGGTCCCTTGTGCTGGGCCAGGAGCAGGACAGGGTGGCGGGTGGGTTTGACAGCTCCGAGGCCTTCGTGGGGAGCATGTCAGGCTTGGCCATCTGGGACCGGGTGCTGGTCCCTGGGGAAGTCACAAGCCTTGCCACTGGGAGAGAGCTCCCGACAGGCGCCATCCTGACACTGGCCAATGCCACACGGGTAGGCGGATTCGTGCAGAGGGCCGATTGCACCTGCCTGGAGCTCTGTCCATGAGGCCGCGCCAGCAGGGGCCGTGGCCAGGGAGAGGGTGGTGCCCCCACCTGCACTTGGCCTCCCCAGGACCAGCACATTCCACAAAAGCCCCCGCCACCTGCCGTGGCTGTGCACGCCTGCGCCCTAACATAGGGGGGTGGGGAGGTGGACAAGCAAATCAGGAGCTGGAGACAGAGGCCCAGAGTCACCTTTGGGCCACAGGGTGGCATTCTTCCCATCCCTGTGGCGTCCTTCCTGCTGCTCCTTCAGAGCACTGCCGCCTCGTCCTGCGTGGCTCGATGGCATTTCAACACGGCCTGAGCCGGCCAGGCGGGGGTGCTAGGCTCTGACTGGTCTCTCCTCTGAGCATGTGTGCTGCTGTTAAAGTCTAGTTGATTAAAGGCTAGTTCCTTGGGACCGTCCGTTTTCCTTGAAACTGCATAGGTGGCATTTGAACCATCACTGCCTTTTCTCTAGGTGATCGTTGTTCCAACAGCTCTTGTGAAAAAGGCTGACAGTCTGTTTCCTGGCCCTCTAAACTACAGCACACTGCCCCGTCCCACCCCGCGCCTCCCCGGGAGCCCTGGGGGCCCCAAAGTCAACCGGCCTAGTCCTTTTCTGTTGTCCTGTGGTGGCTGGAGAGGCCACAGAGGCGGAGGGTCCACGCAGGGGCAAGCGGTTCAAAAGAAACCACTTTTGGAGATGGACTGGAGGTGCTTCCGGAAACAGCTATATTAAGGTACAAGTTACGTATCATAAAATTCACCCATCGTAAGCATGTGGTTCAAAGATTTGTAGTCAGTTTACTGAGTTGTGCAGCCATCAGCACAATCTGGCTTTAGAATATTTCTGTCACCACCCCCAAAACTTGTGCTGTTGGCACTCACTCCCGTCCCACCCTCCTCCTCCCACTCCTGGCAGCCACAGACCTGCTCTCTGTCCCTGTGGATGCACCTGCTCTGGACGCTCCATTCAAATGGCGTCATGCAGATTACGGCTCTCGTGGCCAACTTCTCTCGCTGAGCAGCATGTTTTCCTTTTTACGGCTGAATAACACTCCACAGTATGGACAGACCATGTTTTGTTTAGTCATTCATCCGCTGGTGGAATCTGGATCATTTCCAGTTCGGGGTTACTGGCAATAAAGCTTCCGGGAGCGTCTCATACACGTCTCTGTGTGGGTGGATGCCTGGCAGTGGAGCTGCTGGCTGTAAGGTAGATTCAAGCGTGATTTTCAGAGAAACTGCCGACCAAGTTCACGTGCCCACCAGCGGTACACGAAGGTTCCCATTTCTCAATATCCTCTCCAACACTTGGTATTATTTGTCTTTTTAATAACCTTTTTTTTTTTTAAGAATTCCAAATTGTGGCAGGTTAAAAAAAAAACATGCATTCACAATCAGAACAGACATGTTTTACTTTATTTAAGTTTCTCTGATGTACATTAATCTCATAATGTTGGGGATTCCCAAAGGTGAGATCCCAAGAATCAGAAGGTCACCTGGTGCCCACAGAAGAAAAGGGGATGGGGAGAGGCCAGACCGCTGAGTTTGGGAATGGGCCTGGTTCTCAGATTCCTCATGTTCCAACCCTCCCCCCTCCCCATTTTAAAAGTGAGGAAGCTGATTAGAGAAGCCCCATGTCCCGCACTAGCAGACCCACGAGGGACGCCTCTTGCATAGGTGGTTTCAGCTCTGCCAGGGCCTGGGCCAGCGCCTGGCCACCCCTCACCTGCAGGCCTGCCCAGCTGCTCCTGTGGGAAAGGTGCCAAACTTAGTCCCTGGAGTCTCTTAGCAGCGTCTCTGCAGAGCCCTTTGTGGGCCCCAGCAACTGCAGGCCTCCCCCAACACCACCTGTGCGTGAGTCAACGTCAGAGACGGAATTTTAGAACTGGAAACCCGCAGGGGTGCCCATGTGACGGCTCCCTGAGTCACTGGCTGCTGCTTCCCCACGACGTCTCACGCCATGGTGAGCCTCCTTTCCCAAAGGGCCTTTCTTTCCCAGTCTCCTCCGATATGTTCTGGAATTCTCTTGCTCCATCTCACTCTGCCTCTGAGGAGGGAGTGACAGGACATCCTTCTTTTGGTCCCTGCCTCTGAGAAGCCTAGCGAGGGGCCTGTCCCCCCTCTGAACCCCAGGGGGGCTTGCTGGCTGCTCTAGACTCCAGGCAGGTTGAGACCAAGAGTTTTCAAATCAAACCAAACCAGGTTCCACTCCTGCCTGCGCCTGGGGCCTTGAATAAGCCAGCTTCACTCCTGGTGCATAAAACAGAGGTCACAGTGCCCTTGTCACCGCCCCTCGAAAGGGCAAAGCCGGGGCATACCTATGAACACCTTTTCTCAAAGAACGTTGCTTGCAGTACTTCAGAGAAAGCACTGCAGAGTCATCATGGGGAAATTCAAAGCCTTGTTGAATCTCCTTCCTCTTATTTTGGGTTTAGTTTTGGTTTTGTTTTGAATTATGTTGGGGAGGGGAAGTGTTCTCTTATCTTCTCAGCCCTAGAGGCTCTAAAGAACTCTTCAAATCTTCTCATTTGGAAAATTTTCAAACCTCGAAAACCTGCAAGATGAATACATTGCACGTCAAACGTATTTATCCTAGAGTCACTGGTATTAACTATTTTTTTTTTATAAATAAGACTTTGTGTTTATCACCATTCGAAGTCTAAATTTAAACAAAATTCTTGGACCCAGGGCTCAAATCCATCAGCTGGTTCAGCTCTGGCAGCTGTCTCATCCCTGGTAGCTTTTCCAGAATGACCACCTTCGCCGTGGAGCCCTGAGTTTTTCCAATTCAAACTCAGCCTTCTCCGGACTTTCACTTTCCTAAGGACGACACCGTGGAAGGGTCACGACATCGGCCAGCCCTTTCCGTGTCTTTCCCGGAGCTGCCGGCAATCAGTGTATCGACGACGTCTTTCCAGGGATCTCTCTGCACTTCCTGGCTCATGACTTTCATCTTCCGGGTTTGGTCGTCCTGTTGGTGCTGAGCAAAAAAATCTTCCCAATACGACTGCCGTGTTTATAAAGTAAAACCAGCGTGGAACGTATGAAGCAAACAACCGCCGGTAGCCATGAAGTCCACGTGAGCGCCAGTCATGATCTGCTGCTGAGCACAGAGCACAGCTTGTCACGGATCATGCCATGGACGTTGGTCAGGCAGTTTTTGCCGTGAACATCCTCAGTAATTAGCTTGAACTTTCTAAATGCAACTTTATCATTCTGCAGATCAGCAAGGCTCACTTCAAAAACAGCCCTTGAGGCCATCAGATGCAATTTTGGTTCCTGGAGTCCTTGTGACTAGTTACTTTCCCAGCACTTCTCACGTGGAACACGCCTGGCCCTTTCCCCTCTCACAGCTCTCTCTCAGAAAGTGGACCAGCCGCTTTCTTCTTGGCTCTGTTTCTGTCACATTTTTAAGGTGCTTGTTTTTGCCCATTGCCATGGTGCTGCTCAGTGAGCCGAAGGCCAATTGTTTTCTCTTTTTTTCTGAGACAGGGTCTCACTCTGTCACCTAGGCTGGAGTGTAGTGGCACAATCACAGCTCACCGCAGCCTCCAACTCCTGGCTTCAAGCGATCCTCCCACCTCAGCCTCCTGAGCAGCTGAGACCATGGGCACATGCCACCACACCCGGCTACTTTGTAAATTTTTTGTAGACACGAGGTCCCGCTATGCTGCACAGGCTGGTCATGAACTCCTGGTGTAAAGCTATCCTCCTGCCTTGGCCTCCCAAAGTGCTGGGATTCCAGGCATGAACATTAATATTTGACCCCATTTTCCTCCTCTCTCCATAGGTAGCTACACATTGTGATTAAGGGAAGTGGCAGGTGTCACACCACAACGCATCCTAAATATTTCAGTGTGTATTTCCTAAGAACAAGGACCTTTTCTGACCCTCCCCAACACAATGATCACATTTGGGAAATTTAACACTGTGACGGCGCTGTTAGCTGATACCGTGTATATCCCGTCTTTGTCAATTGTCCCAATTGCGCCAGACCCACGTGGGGCCTTTACCCTGTCTCCTTTGATTGAGGACAGCCCCTCGGCCCGCCTTCGTCGTTGAGGACGCTGGCATTACGGAACTAACTACCCGCCCTCAGCACAGCGGGTGACCCTAAGCTTGGGCTGGTCCGCAGCGTCTTTTGCGAGACGCCACGGGAGTGAACCGAGTCCCACGAGCACCGCCGCGGGGCTCGTGCCGCCATCGCAGGGGGGCTGACGCTCGCGTGGCTGGGGCGCCGGCCGGATCCCCGCCCTCGCCTCCACAGGGCCCCTCGGCCGCAGCAACAGCGCGCTTTCCTCCGACCGCGGATCCCAGAAGCCCCCGCGCGCGCGGCCCTCGACGGCCGCCGTCGCGCTCCACGTGATCTCCGTCCCGCATCACGTGACCGCCGTCAGGGTCACGTGGCTGCCGGCGCGGGTCACCAGACCAAACACCGGGTCGGCGGCGCTTCCCGGCGGGGTGCCCTCGGCGGCGGGCCATGGCCAACGTTTCCAAGAAGGTGTCGTGGTCCGGCCGCGACCGGGACGACGAGGAGGCGGCGCCGCTGCTGCGGAGGACGGCGCGGCCCGGCGCGGGGGCGCCGCTGCTGAACGGGGCCGGACCCGCGGCCGCGCGCCAGGTGAGGCCGCTCGGGAAGCCGAAGCCTGGAGCCGCCCCGCGCCGCCGCGACCCTGCTCGGAGACCCGGCGATCGAGCCGCTGGTGGGTCCGTGACGCGCCCGGGCGCGCTCGGCGGACGGCAAGGCGGGCCCTGGCGCCGGGGTTCCGGCGTCCTGGGAGGACTCTCTGGTTGGTGTGGGGGGCGGAGGAGCCAGCGCGTTGGAGAAACGGGGTGCCCGCAGTCCTCCCGGGGCAGCCGCGGCGCGGGCTTACGCCCCGACAGTGCACCCCAGAATGGCTTTTCAGGGGAGACAGGTGGCTCTCTGCTCAGGTGACTTTTTAAAAAGTTCTAATGAATACATGAGCAGCTAATTTTATTTGTTCGATGTTTGAATCCCAGGAGATTTTGACAGTCTAGACGGCACAGTTTTCTCTTCCAGTGGGAATGACCGAGGACCTCTGTCTGCCGCGTTTCTCTGGGAGATCAGTCCTCAGTCGGGGCTTTCGGGGTGATCTTAGGAATGACGAGTATTTGTACTCAGCTTTCTCTAGCACTTAATTGAACTTGGAATGTGTAGCCCAAAACGGTAATCAACAAGTCAGGGAGGTTGGAGCCTAAGCATGTCGACGTGCAGCTTGTGTCTGTGAGAATGGTAACGTTCCAAGGATTAGGGTTACGTTTATTTCTTGGTCTATGTGTTTTGTGTTAATTTTGAGTCAATGAACCATTTTGGTTGATTGCTTGGTCTTAGTCTGATCTGCAGTTACTCTTACGTGTTCTCCTTTTGTTCTAGGTTTGTCCTTTAAACACTGATGCTGTGTTTAAAGATTAGGAAGGACATGAAAATCAGACTGCTTCTGTAGAACTTAATCTTTTCCCCATCCCTTGGAAATGCATCAGACAATGAAGGTCAAAGCCAGCTTTTTGCTGGTGGGTAGAGGCTCAGCTCCCTTTAAAGTGGAATCTCCTGCTTTCTGTTCTACGGTCTGTGTGAGGAGTGCTCTGAAGAAGATAATTTGAAGTGGTGGGACCAGGGGTGATTCTTTTCTTCTTGATACATTTTTATTTCTTTTTTCTGTTTAAGAGAAAGTAATCTGAAGTCCACAAGATAGGAGAAAACTGGCTTTAAGAGCCAGTAGGGAAAGAGATTGGAAACCTTGACGGAGGTTGGATTTGGGTTTATCTCGGGACTGAATATGCCTGGGTTTTCCTACTTCTCTTTGCAAGTAGATACAGGCTATTTTGGAAAGAACCTGTTATCTCTTCCCTTAAAAATCATTGCAAGCTGTTTTGTTTGTTGGTATTTAATAACTGATTAGCTGCTGTTCCACAATTACGAAATATTGATCATGCACTTGCTCTGTGGCTGTCTCCATGCAGTTTGTGTAGGACACAGGTACATGAAGCAGTTTTCTTCCCCCTAGAAACAGGCCCAGAGCGCTATGAGGACTGTCTAGGGAGCCCCAGGGGCAGAAGGGGTCACATTGGTGCTCCATCTTGAAGAGCGTATAGTCTGGAATACAGTGTGGGGCACGGAGGGCGGCCTTGCTGGGCACATGAGCTGACTTTGCGTGTGGAAGCTGGGAACTCCAGTCCTAAAGGATGCTTGGCTTGCCTGGCAGAGTGATTGGAAAGGCGGGGTCTAGAGGCTGGCAGACCTGTTAGGCCAGGTAGCCTGGGAAGCCTCTGTACTCCGAGCACTGGACCAGAGCCTCCACACGCCCCAGTTTTCTCATCTGCAAAAAAGTTAATTATGTGACTAGCACTGAGCAGGATGCCTGTCAAAAAACACACTCTTAATGAATATTAGTCGTTCGTTCTCAGTAGCATTAAAAGCAGCAACACAAAAGTGATTCATCTTTGTTTTTGACATTCACGCGTGCCTCTGTTAGCAGCTGACTGAATTTCTTGGTGCTGTCTTTCTTAGGGAAGGATGTGCTCTGACCAGCAGGCAGAGCTCACAGTTACGACCAGGGCCACCCAAGGTCCAGCAGACGGGCTTCCAGGGCCATTTGGAGCTAAAATAGGCAACCTAGGCAAATAACAGCTCTGCAGGAATGATCCACTGAACTGAATGTGAGGGCTTGTCCTGGCTGTCTCCTGGCCCTTTGGGGTTTGTTGCAGGGTTTCCAGAGTTGGACAGTGACATCGTTGGCACTGGCACAGCTGCCCGAGCGCCGCAGTGGTAGCTGCTGGGGGCAGGGTGTACTGGGGCCGGGTCTGTTCGAGTTTGGGCCGAAGCTTAAAGCTCAGGCCCTCGGGGCCACCTGTGGGTTGCTGTTCCGGTTCTCAGGCCCATCTTGCTGGGTGGGGGTGGCAGTCACTGCCTGTCTGGTGCTGAGACAGGGAGAGGGTGAAGTCAGCCCGCAAGTCATGGTCATGTGTGTGGGCAGTGGGAAGCCAGGCGTTTTGAGAACTTACAGAAAGAGTCTGTTTGTTCTGGTTTCACTTAGGGGTTGAAAAAAAGTCTGCTTGAGCCAGGACCAGATGGCTGTAGGGCTGGGGTGGGGTGGGGCATGGGTATTTGAGGTATTCGTAAATACAGGACATTCCTGGGAACTCACTTTGGGAAGCTCCCCCTGAGAGCCCCAGCAGTGTAGGGATCCGAGTTGGAGCCACAGAACAGAGTCTGAGGGTGCTGTGGGGGAGTGCCAGAGACCTGGGGGTGCTCCAGAGCTGCAGGGGAAGGTCCTCTGGTCATCCCCAGTGGCCCTTTGAGCTCTGCTCAACTTGAGTGAGCGCCCCAGTGTTCTCTCGGAAGTCCCCTGCCTCCCCGTAGCCCGACATTGTAACTGTCCTACTGTCCTCCTCCTCCAGCTACCCACCCCATTCCCCTTTTGTGCAGGGCCGGCTGCCTCCCCGAGAGCTCCCTGAATTCTGTCTCCCTGCTGCCCTCAGGGAGCACCTGCCGGGGCCCAGCGTGGGTGGGATAGCGCCAGTGGAGGAGTAGGCGAGGCCTGTGCCCAGCAGCGCGGAGGGCGGAGGGACGGGCTGCTCTCAGCGCGTCCTGCTCCCGCTCGGCCGCCAGGTCTCAGCTTCAATGCTCCTGCGCCTGCAGGCTGCCTGGCTGCATCCGAGGCAAACCTGTCCCTCGTGTTCTCTGTGGCCGTTTAGCAGTTTACACTTTGCTGTGTGTCACCTTGTTTCCTTTGTCCATAGCCGCTGCTAAGGCAGCTTCTGTCCTCGGGGAGCCCGGCACGAGGTGGGTGCTCGGTGGGTGCAGAGCGGGTCGAGTGGAGTGGCAGACAGCCTTTAAAATTGTTTGAAAAAGTTTTTTAATTGTGGTAAAAAACACATATCATGAAATTTGCCATATTAATTTTTAAGTACACGTCTCAGTTGTGTTAAGATGTTTATGTTGTTGTGCAGCCAATCTCCAGAACGTATCACGTGCAGAGTGAAACCCCGCACCCGCCAAACAACTCTCCCTTCCCTGCCTACCCGGCTGCCCGTCTGCTCTCTCGTGAGCGTGACTCCCCTACCGACCTGCGTACGAGGAGTCACATGGGATGTGTCGCCTTGTGGCTGGCTTATTTCACTCGGCGTGATGTCCTCGAGGTCCGCCCTGTGGTAGCACATGTCAGTGCGTCATTCCTCTGGATGCTGAATGACTTCGTGGTGTGGACGGACCACACTGTGCTCCCCCATTCACCGTCAGTGGGCGCTTGGGTCATGTCCACCTTTCACCTGTCATGAGTGGTGCCGCTATGACCTTGCGTGTTCAAGTATCTCTTTGAGACTCTGCTTCCAGTTCTTTTAGGTGTTTGCCCAGAGGTGGAATTGCTGGATCATACGGTTGTTTTATGTTTAATTTTTTGAGTGACAGCCCTGTGGTTTTCCATGGTGGCTGCACCATTTGACATTCCCACCAGCAGTGCACAGAGCGTGCCAGTTTCTCCGCCTCCTCGCCAACACTTGCTCTTTCCTTTCCTTTCTTTCTTTTTTTTGATGGCAGCCATCCTAGTGGGTGTAAAGTGGAGTCTCATCGTGGTTTTGCGCTTCTTCTCATGTGCTTATTGGCCATTTGTATATCTTCTTTGGAGAAATCTCTGTTAGTCCTTTGCCCATGTTTTAATCAGGTGGTTTAGTTTTTTGGTGGTTGAGTTGTAGTTCTTTATGTATTGTGAGTTTTATTCACTTATCAGCGATTTGCAAAAATTCTCTCTCATTTTATAGGTAGCCCTTTCTCTCTGTTGATTGTTTCCTTAGAGGTGCAGAAGTTCTTAACTTTGACATAGTCCCACTTGTCTATAGAATTTTTTGGCGGGGGAGTTGGGGATAGGGTCTTACTCTGTCACCCAGGCTGGAGTGCAGTGACATCATCATAGCTCACTACAACCTCATACTCCTGGGCTCAAGTGATCCTCCTGTCTCAGCCTCCGAAATAGCTGGGACTACAGGTGTGCACCACCATGCCCGGCTAATTTTTCTATTTTTTGTAGAGACAGGGTCTTGCTCTTGCTCAGGCTGGTCTCCAACTCCTGGCCTCAAGTGATCCTCCCTCCTCAGCCTCCCAAAATGCTGAGATTACAGGCGTGAACCCCTGTGCCTGGCCTATAACATATTTTTAACTTCTAAATAATTATGCATTCACAGGAAGTTGCAAAGGTAGCACAGAGAGGGCTCGCGAGCTCCTCACAGGTCTCCTTCAGTGTTCACATTTACGTAGCTCGAGCCCGGTACCAGAGCAGAGCTTGTCGTGGTCCGGGCGTGTCAGTTGTGTGATGCGTTAACAAGGTGCAGAGTGTTAATATCTCCATCGCCGCCGCATTTCCATCTTGCCCTGCCTGTGTGGCAGCCCTCCCCAGCCCCGGCCGCCGCTGCCTCCCGCAGCCCTGCAGGCTGCCGTTCAGCACAGGAGATGGGCGGCCTGCTGTCTGCGGAGGGGCTGTGGGCCGACAGCTTTCAGTGGGTGACGCCCTTCAGGTGCATCCAGGTTGTGCCTGTCAGTGGTTTGAGGAACAATGAGCATTTCGTGTACCTCGCACTTACAAAAGAAAGAGGCTGCACTGATAAAATCGCTTCTAGTGAATGGATTTTTCCAGCACGAGAGAGCGCTGAGGCAAGTGTTGGCGCGAAGGCGCTGGTGGGGTCCTGCTTTGCGAGCCGCCGCTTTTCGTTTTAAGCAGGAGCCACGGATTCCCTGCGGGGCTGGGGTGTGTCTACATCCCCCCACTCCAGGCAGCAGTGGGGGTTGGCCAGGGGCCTCCTGGGGTGTCCCTCCTGTGTCAGCCTCGAGAATTTGCAGCTCTGCCTGCTGCCGCCAGGGGATGCTCTTGCGGGTGTGGACGCGGCCCCCTGGGAGTCCTCCAGACCCGGTGGTCAGGACGGGTCTGCTGCCCAGACTGTCCCCAGGGTCTGTGGTCTGTGGTCCTCAGAAACTGCCTCAGACGTCCGAGGCAAATGCTTCACGGGGTCCCACGCTGGGCGCCCCGTGGTGCCTGATGGCGTTTGGCTTGTCGGTGTCGTGGTCGGCAGCGGACGCAGCGCTGTGTCCAGGCGGCGCCGTCTGTGCGCCCCGCCTGCAGGCTGAGAGCGGCTCGAGTCTCCAGTGCTCCTTTCACAACGCCGACACTGCTCAGCTGGGGCTGCGCGCTCTGCGCCGGTCTGCCTGGCCGCCCAGCGCGTGTGGAAGTTTCCTTGAGGAAGCTCACTGGGTTCACAGTGGCTGGACGGCCCTGGCTGTCCGTGTGGTCAGGCTTGGCCTGTCACATGCACCTCTGCACACAGGCCGAGCAGGGCCGAGGCCGGGCTGCAGCCTCACCAGGCCACCGCCTGGGGGAGTTCACTCGAGGCCAGGTCCCTTCTGGGTCAGTGCAGTGTTCCATGGGGCTGAGGAGCTGCGCATCTTTCCTAGGGATTCAGCTGTTTGGGGCCTTTTTTGTGTTTTTTGAAAGAGAAGCACACATTTTTCTCATTGATCACTTGCACTGACGTTTACCGCGCATAACAAAAGCGCGCAGCTCGGCGATCGTCCTGTGAGCTGCACCTCGGAACTGATCACCTGTTGTGGGGTGAACGGTGCCGATCCCCCCAAAAAATGTGTCCACATCCTGACCCCAGGACCTGGGAACGGCGATGTCTTCAAGTTAAGATGAGTCGTCCTGGAGTAGGACGCCATGGCTGGTGTCCTTAGGAGAAGAGAGAAGTTTGACACGGACACACGCAGAGGAGGTGGCTGTGAGGCGACAGTGGCAGACTGGAGTGACGCGGCCACAGTCAGGGGACAGAGGAGCCCCAGACGCTGGGGGAGGCGAGGGTGGCTCTTCGTCGGGAGCCCCTGGAGGAAGTGTGCCCCTGTGGCCTCCAGAGCAGGGGAGGGCACTGGTTGTTTCTGCCTCCAGCGTGTGCTGCGTGGTCACGGCAGCCACGGGAGACTCACACCCCCAGCAGCGGGGCCAGCGTCCCCACAGGTCACCCGTGTGGCTCTACAGGGCAGCTGACTTGGCCTTGAACTTCACGCACGTGGAATCGCACACAGGCACTTGTGTCTGCCCCACGGCGCAGCGTTCATGGGAGGCTGGCCGTGTGTGTGGCAGCGACTCGCTCCTTGCCGGTGCTGTGTGTAGGGCTGCCAGATAAAATACGGGACACCAGCTATATTTGAATTTTTAGATAAACAATAAATTTTTAATGTAAGTTCTATGCAATATTTGTAACATATTTTAGTAAAAAGTTACTTGTTTATCTGAAATTCAGATCCAACTGGTATGCAGTGTGCAACCCTGGTCGTTTGAGCTGCCGTGCTTTCTGCGCCCCTCCTGCTGTGGCCTGTTGCAGTGGCCAGGGTGGCCTACCATGCCGCGGCTCTTGGGCACGGCTGGCCCGCCTGCTGCAGGGCCTTCCCTGCTGCGCTGCCACATGCACCCGGCAGAGAGCCTCAGGGAGCCCACGCCGGGCAGAAAGGACACTGAGGGTGCGGGCTCTGCGCGGTACTCAGTGGTGCGTCCCTTTCAGGGTGGGCGTTTGCAGCAAAGCGGAAACACGTTTCCAACAAGGAACAGCCAGAGTCACCCAGGGGCCTTGCAGTGGCTTGAAGGTGGGAGGTGCCAGAAAAGTCTCTCTAGAGCGACGCAGAGGGCGGCCCCTCTGGGTAACAGTGAGGAGGTGGGGGCCTTCCTCACAGTCAGATGGTTTGGTTCCAGTTCTGGCGCCTCTGGGATCGGGGTCAGAGGTTCCAGAGCCAGCCCACAGGGCTGCTTTCTGGTGGCGAAACCCGGAGTCAGATGCCTCCTCCTGGCCAGGCAACACCTTCCTCCAGTCTCGTGCTGGGTCCCTCGTTCCCAGCCGGGCTTCCTGGGGCATGTTTCTCACAGGTCATCGGAAGGGGCGTGTGGCGGCTCCACGGTGTCTGGCAGTGGGAACGAGAGGCGGCTCCGCCGTGTCTGGCAGTGGGAACGAGAGGCGGTACTTTCGTCAGTCTGCCCACTCGTGCGCCCTGACCTCAGAGATGGAGGGCCCTGGGGGCGTCCCCTGCTCCAGGAGAGGAGCACCCTCTGGCAGTGTCAGCAAGGACAGTGGCGGCTGCCCAGGTCCCCACCTGCCAGTAGCACCGGGCTGTGGTTGGGACGGGACGGGTGGGGGGCGCACAGAGGGCAAAGGGAGATCTAGGCGGCCTGGGGCTGGGGACAGGAAGGCTCGTTGTTTTGGGAACGGGACGGCGGTGGGTGACAGGGAGCCCCTTTGCTTCAGGGGCGATCTCCCCAGAGGAGGCAGGACCCAGCCCACCCCACCCATGGCTTGCAGAGACCTCAAGTCCGGAACCTTCCTTCTCTGCCCTGGTCTCCTTACCTGCCTGTCATGGCTGCGATCCCCACGTCTGGGTAAGGTGGGCTGAGAATCAGCCTCCAGGCGCAGCTGACCCACATGCCCCATCCTGGCCCAGATGGCTCCTGGCACCGTCACCTTCGGTTTCGGGTCACTGAGAAGTGTTTATGGGCCTCTGGCTGGGTCCAGGGAGTGGGTGATAAGGGGAGATCAGTGGATGGACAGACCAGGTGGCCGGGGTGGCCGCTGCCCGGGGCGGGGGTGGGGCCTTGGGGTGGCCTGTCGGCTGCTGGAGCTGATTTCTGGCGCTAGGTTCTCCTCACGGGGCTGCTGGCCTGACGCAGATGACACACAGATGACATGCAGGTAACATGCAGACAGCACGCAAATGACACACAGGTGACACTCAGATGACATGCAGATAAGCTTCAGCTGAGGAACCAGCCCTCCTTCCCCTCCCCCCCAGCAATGTTGGTAGTTTCAGGAAATAGTTGAAATTGGAGAACTAATGACGTAGCCTCTTAGGAGAAAGAAGGACGAGCGCGTGAGAGCCGTCTCCTCCCAGCCTGCCCAGTGCTCGGCGGGTCTGCGTCCCACGAGGAGGCGCTAGCGAGTGGGGGCTCAGTGAGCCACGTGGGTGCCACAGCACTGGCATTGGCTGCCCTGCACCTGCCAGGACCCTGCCCAGCTCTGCCCGCAGGCTGTCCTTCCAGCGGGGAGGGGGCCAGGCAGGGCCTCAGGACCGGCTGGCAGGGAGGGGGTCTCGGTGGCGGGGCGCTGGCCTGGCTGTGGGGCACCCCCGGCCTCCATCCTGCTGGGCGGCAGGTGCCTCGTCTTCAGTCTAGAGCAGGGAGCCCGGTGCGTCTGCGCCGGGCTGGACTTCTTGTTGACAGGCCGTGGTGGCCGGAACAGGCCTGGACTCCAGCGCCCAGGGCGGCTCGTCCTGGCCCGGCTGTCCCCCGACCCTGTTCCTGCCTGACCTCTGGCAGGGGCGGGGCAACATGTGGGGCAGGCGGGGAGGACGCGCAGTCACCGCCTTCTGGTGTCCCAGCGCCTTCACGATTTCTCTTCTGTTTTCAGTCGCCTCGTTCTGCACTTTTCCGAATCGGACAGATGAGCAACGTGGAGCTGGACGATGAGCTTCTAGACCCGGTGAGTCGGGGGGTCCCTGTCCTGGGGGCTTCGCTTCGCCGGACCATCAGGCAAGAGGGTGGGCATGGGCAGACGGCAGGCAGACAGTGGGGCCTCGAGGCCGGGTGCCTGGTGAAGGCTGTTTGGGGGGCCCCAGGACAGAGCCCGAGGCCAAGTGACCATCGGTAGCCGGGTGAGCAGAGGTGGGCAGAAGAACGCAAGGCTCCCGGGCCTGGCAGGGTGAGCGTGCTCTGGGCGCAGGAAGCTAGTTGGGCACAGGTGCCGTGGGCAGTGGCTCTGCGGCGGGTCAAGGACAGGGGGCCCCCGGAGATCGTGAAGGGGCAGTGATGTCCCCTGATGTCAGAGGGCAAGGATTCTGGTGTCCCCTGCTAACGACCCCTCCAGCCACCGTGCCAGCGGTTGTCCTGGGAGGGCTTTCTGAGGCCCCTTCGCAGCAGAACTTGCAGTGTCCTTCATCCTTGGTGGCATCTCACGGTGGCTGATTTGGGTTTCCTGGTGCCAGTGAGGCCGAGCATCTTCCCGTGCTGTTTATCCTCTTTGGAGAAACACCTGTTCTGATCCTGCGCCCGTTTTTTTAATATGGTGGAAAAACACGTATTGAGAATGAGCCAGATGGACTCGAGTCCAGATGACCTGGCTCTGTTGGCAGCATCCGGAGCGTCCTGGTGAGGACCTTCTCCCCAGCAGGTCCCGCTGGGGCTGCCGTGGCCACGTCAGTGCGCGAGTCCACGGCCTGTCTGGTCTGGAGCCTGCTGGCCTTGTCCACGCGAGCACAGCCTGTGGTCGTCTGTCTTCTTGGCAGCCCAGTGGTCAGGTGACGGCCTGGCAGTCAAACTTGTTTCTCCTGGGGGCAGAGGTATTTCGGCTGTGTCTGGGGCCGCAGAGTCACGGGCCACCGGCAGGGGAGTGACGTGTGGCTCTGTTTCTGTGGCTGTGGACGCCTCTAGGCGCTGCCTCCTTGGCCTTTAAAGCCTTTGCTTTGGCCTCGCCTTGGGAGGGCTGGGAGAGCAGAGAGCGCGGGTGTGCGGTTCAGAAATCGTCACTTCCCGCCTCGAGGCCTGGAGCCGGCCCGGCACGCCTGTGTCAGGAGCGCCGTCTTTTGATAGGATTGTTTGTCCTTTTACGATTGAGTGGCAGGAGCTCCTCACATATCCGTGTGTACCAGGCGCCCGACTGTAAAAGCCTTCTCCCATCCGCGGGTTCTCTTTCCACTTCCCGGCCATGTCCTTTGGCGCGCAGAAGGTTTCGTCTGGCCGAAGTTCACTGTGTCTGTTTTTCCTTTTGTTGCTTGTGCTTCTGGTGCCACTTCTAGGAAACCACTGCCTAAGCCAGGGGCATAAAGCCATTTTTTTCTCAAAGCTTTGTAGTTTTAGGTCTTCGATCCATTCTGAGTTAATTTTGGGGCGTGGCGTAAGGTCTAGCTGCACCCTTTTGCTTGTGGAAATCCGGTGGTACCAGCACCATTTACTGGAAATACTGTTTTTCTCCATCGAACTGTCTTGACACCACGTTGAAAATCAGTTGACCAGAGTGTTTTTGTTTTACCCCTGGACTGTCCATTCTGTCCCGTGTGTCTGCACGTCTGTCCTGGTGCCAGTGCCACCCTGTCTTGCTTACTGTAGCTTTGAGGCAAGTTTTGAAACTAGGAAGTATGAGTCCTCCAGCTTTTTCTTCTTCCTCTTCAAGATCTCTTGGGTTATTCAGGGTCCCTTTTCTTCCACAGACTTTAGGGTCAGCTTGTCAATTTATTCCAAAAAAGTCAGCTGAAATTCAGGTAAGCATTGCATTGAGTCTTAACAATGGAAAGTCTTCTATATATGAGCACAGAATATCTTACTATTTATTTAGATCCTTAATGTTTCCAACAGTGTTTGGTAAGCTGGGCACAGTAGCTCCTGCCTTTAGTCCCAGCTGTTCGGGAAGCTGAGGCAGGAAGATTGCTTGAGGCCAGGAATTTGAGACCAGACTGGGTAACATAGCAAGATCCCCTGCATCTTTTTTTAAATTA